AAAATGGCTCTCTGTCCGGTCCTAGCTACATAATCGTGCGTTTTGAGCACTGGACAAGTCTAAACGCAACATCTCATTCACATCAACCTTGCCTATTCGGAGTTTTGCTGCCAAACTAAGGGCCAGTGGCGAGAATACAACCCCATGACAGCATCGTGAAAAATACCCGTCTCGAGACAGGCCCGGAAATGTCACTCTCTGGCAGACCCAGCCCTACGGTATCGCGTGGTGGATTGCTGCCGCTTCGAGCCCCTGTTGGAGTCTTGGAGACAACCCCACGGTCCCCACACGGCTCCGATGGCGGGGCGCGGCGGGGCATGGGTGACGCCGAACAAAAAGTTCAAACACCGAGTCCAGATCAGGGATAACTGACTCACCTGTTTCGCGATATATTCCCTAGATTGCCCCGGTTGTTGGAGACTCGTTCTGTCAAACAAAACGACAGTCGGCCAAGCAATCCCACAGAAACCGCCCACCATGTCTCAATTGCCTGTCAAGAACTGCGGTAAGGTTGCCGAGACAGCCCCGTCTCTACCCCGCTGGGGTCTCGAACTACCCAGACTGACTTACTGACACTATTTCTTTCCGGCAGGCGTCCTGGGCTGCACCGGCTCGGTTGGCCAGCGCTTTATCCTGCTGCTCCAACAACACCCCTCGCTGCGTCTCGTCGCCGTCGGCGCGTCGTCACGATCCGCCGGCAAGAAGTACCGCGACGCGGTGCGGTGGAAGCAGGCGAGCCCCATCTCGCCCGAGATCGGCGACCTGGTGGTGCGCGAGTGCAAGGCTAGCGAGTTCGCCGACTGCGACATCGTCTTCAGCGGCCTCGACAGCGACGTGGCGGGGGAGATCGAGAAGGAGTTCCAGCACGCGAACAAGGCCGTCTTCTCCAACGCCAAAAACTACCGCCGCGACCCCCTCGTGCCGCTCGTCGTGCCCACCGTCAACCTCGACCACCTCGACCTGATCCCGCACCAGCGTAAGACGAACAACCTCGAAAAGGGCTTCCTCGTGTGCAACAGCAACTGCGCCGTCATCGGCCTGGTCATCCCCTTCGCCGCGCTGCAGGCCAAGCTCGGCCGCATCGACACCGTCTCGGTAGTCACCATGCAAGCCGTTTCGGGGGCAGGGTACCCGGGCGTGAGCAGCATGGACGTCATCGACAACGTGGTGCCGTACATCCCCGGGGAGGAGGACAAGCTGGAGACGGAGGCGCAGAAGATCCTGGGCCGCATCAACGCGGACGCGACCGCCTTCGAGGACCAGTCGACGCTGCGCGTGTCGGCCGCGTGCAACCGCGTCCCCGTCATGGACGGTCACACCGCATGCGTGTCGCTGCGCTTCGCCCAGCGCCCGCCGCCAACGGCTGAGCAGGTCAAGGAGGCCATGCGCAGCTACGTCTCCGAGGCCCAGAAGCTCGGCTGCCCCTCGGCCCCCCAGCCCCCCATCATGGTCTTTGACGAGCCCGACAGGCCGCAGCCCCGGCTGGACCGGGACCTGTCCAAGGGCTATACTGTCAGTGTTGGCCGCGTTCGCGAGGATGAGAGCGGCATTTTCGACATCAAGTTTGTCGCTTTGAGCCACAACAGTGAGTCCCCATGGTTCTGAGTGAGTGAGCTTGTTACTGACCCCACTTAGCCGTCGTCGGTGCTGCCGGCTCTTCCATCCTGAACGCCGAAGCAGCCGTTCTCAAAGGTTTCATCTGAGTGCATGTAGAGACGGTCATGGGGTACATTCAGCACCGGAGTTGGTTGCAAGGGCTTAAAAGTGGGCATGCAGTTGTATACCCTGCGTCTTCAAGGGTCGATCATAGTTATTTGATTCCCATACCTACAAAACAATTATCAGTTCCGCCAAGTTTGGTCCAACCGTGTAACTTGGAAACGTGCTCCTTGGGTCACGCACGTAGCCGGCCCTTCACGCTGGTGACATGAGTGGTCTCATAACCAGCTGCAGAATACCTCGGTGTTACTGATACCAACCAGTGGTAGAACTCCAGGGTCCGGGGTCGGAGGGCGTTCTCAAAGTCCACCGGGGGCCGTTGTAGAGTCTGTGGAACTCGGGATTGTCAAACGAGGACCTTCTCGGCCGTGATCGGTTATCGCGGCTTTGTCGGCATATGTGCAGTCGGGATGATCTAGTTCGTAGCGACAAATCGCCCTGGCCTTGGAGGCGCCAATAAACCAGAATTATTGGAAGCCGTGTCTCTTTTGAGCGTGTCCTAGCTGGGCTGTCTCGGGTGTAATCTGATGGGTAGCGGCATGCCGCATCGTTAGGGGCCGAAAGTCGGCCCTGCTGGTTCCCGGGCGGCCTGCTGTTGTCGTCCACAACGAGGTTAAGAATGGCCGGGCTAAGCGAGGTATTAGGGAAGAAATTCCCATCGAACCTTGTGGTGTGTCACAGCAGGGTGGTTTAAGCGGTCTGGGTAGCTCCTTGATACACAGCCAACCGAAACGGCCGACAGCAACACAGTGATACTGGGCCTCGCTACCACCTGAGCCGGATGTTATGCTCCAAAACAGGGTTTCTCGGTGGAATGGAAGGCTTACGGATATGCTTGAACCTAGACACGCCAAGCGGGAAAGATTTCGAAGCGGTGCTGTTTTCTCTCAGCTCTAGTGTAGAAAGGTCGGGGTTGGTGGGTTTGTGATGTGCCTTAATGATTATCATCGAACGTCTGTCAATCCGGGGAAACTATTTTTGGTTGGACGGCAGATGGCAGTCTTCTCGGTGCGTGGTAAACCGTCGGCCTCGTTTCTTCGGGTCGCTCCGCAAGTTGAACGGTAGCGTTATGCCATTTCTTGTCCTGTGAGCTTTCAACGGTCACCTTAGCGTTGACCAATTATAATTTTGACCCCAATGGATGAAGTGTTGGACATGCTGCCGCTGGCACCTGGATTATTGGTTTCCATTGTTGTTCGAGTCGCCAAGGTGAAGCACAGACTGTTGTTCATGCTTGAAAGGAAGGACCAGGATGCCATCTGCTTCATGGTTCACAGCAACAGCAGCAGGGGGAACGACGTGGGGGCCCACACTCGAGCTTCCTTCTAAAATTTAGTGGGCCTCGCAGCGAAGCTTGGCAACGCGCAACGGCGCTGGAGGGGGACGGATTGCCGTCCCATCCCGTTCCCGGATTGGTCGCGTGGCCCCTGTTCTGCCATTGTGTGGGCATCTCGTAATGCCCGCCCGACCAGGAGCTCGCGCCCCGAACTTGAAGTCGACTCTGAACCCCGCGGCTTCAACAAAACAAAGTCGCTAGTTACCCGCATTGCAGTCAATGATAACCTTGACTGTCTCGATCCGCGAGCGCCATGTCTTTACCAGAAGCAGCAGCAACGGCTCCTGAAAATGGATCCACGACCCAACAACCGGCCGCGCCCCCGCTGAGCGAAGAAACGAGAGCGCAGGTGCAAGATGTCCTGACATCAGAGGTGCGCATTCCAACCCGATCAGTCTTGCCTTTGATGTGCTCATATATGTTTTACAGATTGGCATCTCGGTGATGCTGAACCGGCTCAAGCAAAGCATTGCCTCGGCAAAGGTATGAACACTGGCCCCTCCCACTGTGTCCGATGTGGCTGCTAACCCCTGACCACAGGAGTTTTCGCAATTCTTGAAGAAGCGCTCGGTACTCGAAGACGATTATGCAAACTCCCCTCAAGAGGCTATGCAAGCTATCACAGGACAACATGCAGCGGGGCGAGCATCGCGGCGGCACCTTCGGCCGGGCCTACGAGGAGATGATGGCGGTCCACGAGCGCATGGCCGACAACGGGATACAGTTCGCCATGTCGCTGCACACAATGTCCGAAGATCTCACGGAATTAGCCCTCGTAGCCGACAAGTCCCGAAAGGGGTGGAAGCAGAGTGGCCTGGCCGCTGAGCAGCGCGTGGTGGATCTCGAGGCCGCTTTGCGCAAGTCTAAGACCAAGTACGACGGCCTTGCTGAAGAGTACGACCGCGTCCGAACGGGGGATTCAGCAGGCCGTCCGGGAGGGAAGATGTTTGGATTCAAGGCGCACAAGTCGGGCGCTGGGCACGAAGAGGACCTGCTCCGGAAGGCCCAGGTCGCAGAACAAGATTACCAAGGGAAGGTTCAGGTTGCGTCTTCCGAGAGGAGCGAGCTTGAAACAAAGACTAGGCCGGAAACCGTTCAGGCACTTCAGGATATTGTGAGGGAGTGTGATTCCGGGCTGGCATTGCAAATGCAAAAATTTGGTACGTTTTTATGGAGAGCTATACGACATGGATGCTAACGAGTCTCCAGCATCATTCAATGAGAAACTGGTGCTCAGCAATGGGCTTAGTATTAGTCCCCTCAAGCAGGCCCCCGAGACACGGAGTTTACGAGAGAGTGTCCTAGCCATTGATAATGACAAGGATCTAAACGACTATCTGAGCGGCCAACATCCGAGGCTGCCACCAAGAACAGGGCTGCCCAAATACGAACGCAACCATGTACGTGTTTCTGTTTACGAGGTTAATTGGCTAAACTGACCCCTCCAGCTCCTCGAGACATCGAATCGGCCGCCGACCAACACTGGCCCGCCTCCCACGCAGAACACCCCGCAACAACCACCCCCGACTTCCGTGCAACCGCCACCGGCCGGGATCTTCCAGGGTTCCCGGTCAAGCACTTTCTCCGACGCACCTACCGGCCCGCCAAATCAGGGACCTACGGGGCACAGTTATAACCAGAGTATGGGCTCTCTCCCGATGCTCGGCGGGCCCCCGCCCCCATCCCAACCGCAGCACGAGAGGAGCTTTAGCCACGGGAGCACCATGAACCAAGGCAGCAGCCCCGCAGGCCAACAGTATAGAAACGCCGGCGCTCCGCAACACCAAGCCCAGTCATCTGTTTCAAGGTTTGACGGCTCGTTCAGTTCTGCCACTTCGCAGGGGCCACCCCAACTCGGCGCGTTGTCGTTCCAGAGCCCCCAACCCCAGCAATCCCAGCAACCACCTTATGCGCAGCTACCGTCCCAGAAAGGGAACCCTCCCCCGAACGCGTTTCCTCAGCCTTCCGCCATGGCACCTCCCCAGGCGCACAGGCAATCGCCTCCAGCCGCCTCACAAATGGCCCCGCCGCGCCCTGTGTTTGGAGTCACCCTGTCCAAGCTTTATGAGAGAGACGGGCTGGCAGTTCCTATGGTGGTCTATCAGTGCATTCAGGCTGTGGACCTGTTCGGTCTGAACGTCGAGGGCATTTACCGACTATCTGGTTCCGTGCCTCACGTTAATAAGCTCAAGAATCAGTTTGATACAGGTTCGTGTTATGCCTGCACCCCTGGCCTCCCTACTTCAGACTAACCCTCCCAAGACTCTGCATCCGGTAACCTCGATTTTCGCAACCCTGAAAACTTCTTCCATGATGTCAACAGTGTTGCTGGTTTGCTCAAGCAGTTCTTCCGGGACCTGCCCGACCCGTTGTTGACTAGAGAGCACTACGTGGCGTTTATTGAAGCAGCCAGTACGTATTCCCCTTCTTCCAGCCCTCGCTTGATATCACCTCGCTAATTCACGGATGTAGAAAACGAAGACGACATTGTCCGCCGGTGACACCCTCCAGGCCATCATCAACAACCTGCCCGATCCCAACTACGCCACCTTGCGCGCTCTGACGCTGCACCTGCACCGGGTCATGGACAACTGGTCAGCGAACCGGATGAGCTCGCAGAACTTGACCATCGTGTTGAGTCCCACGCTCATGAGTACCGCGCCCGGATCCAACATCTCAGATGCCGGATGGCAGGTCAGAGTCATGGATACCATCTTGCAGAATACATATCAAATCTTTGACGACGACGATTGAGGGGATCACTGCCAATCTAGGTGAAGAGAAGAAGTTTGCCGCGGGCGTTGGAGAGAGGGCGGTTTGTAATATAGCTATGAAGTACGGAATTCCCCGGCATGTGGGTAATTGGGGGATGAGCATGGCGGTTTTTGCTGAAGGAAAGATGTTGATTGCCATCTCACGTCTTGCATTCAACCACCGAAGCTGGAGCTTGTTCCCTTGGGCTTAGAATCGCCTGCAAGGGGTTGGGGGTGTGGGGGTCTTTTGCGGTGGTTTGGAATGGATCACATTTGCTGGACGAGCATGCTTAACAGTGATTCAATGGTCAAGGAAAGGGCGACAACCGTTCGTCTGCAATTACAAATAGGACGATTTTGTTATGGTCGACAACAATCTAGGCTACGTTATTTATGTCAACATCCGTAGCGAGTCGATCAAGTCGCATGTGCGATACAAAATAACCACTGTGCCAGTTAGTTGTATCCATTCCTTTAAAAGGTGCTTGCTACCTTTGAGAAAAAGAAAATATTGACTCTGAATAAAACTGTCGATGTCGCACAGCGAAAAACAAAAGTAAAGTGTCATGGTGATTTAGCTCCTCCGGGAAGGCTCGAACTTCCAACCTCCTGATTAACAGTCAGACGCGCTAGCCAATTGCGCCACAGAGGATGCTAGCCAATTGCTTGTGGTTGTGTGGGTCAAACCCTGAGCTTTTATAGCTTGGCGGTTGGCGATGAGGATGGCGTTTAGCTTCATCCTCCTCGAACCTTGCTGTAAAATGTTGGTTTGGATAAATGGTTTAAGCTGGAGTAGGGCGGTTCATGAGGAGACTGCAGGTCGCGTGGCAAATCATCAAGATGTGGCCCTCTGGCAAACTGGAAATAGGAACAAGCAGCTGGAAATAGGAACAAGCAGCTAGTTGACTCCAATACCTCGTCAAGATCAGGCAAGACATTAATAAACTCTGTTTTCCTCATGTACCTCTATGCATCCGTACAAACACCGTCTATCATAACTTACATCCATCTACATCGGCGCCTGCCACCTCAAATTAATCTGTTTCCTCCTCACCTGCAAGAGTATTAGCAACGTCAACCAAACCATCACGGACAGAAATGTACTCACCACCGGAGCAAGCATAAGCACACCCGCCAAAAGCGCCAGCACCGTCCCCACCAAAGCCACCTTGTTGAAGCCCTTGCCGAGGATATCGAACAAGAAGCTGGGCGCGACCCTCGTGCCAAACACATCAATACCATACGCAAACACCAGACTTGTGCTCTCCACAATAGCCGGCGCGGTGATGATCTTCTCGACGCCCAACACATCGCGCTCGTGAGTGATGACGCTCTTGGGATCGACCTCGATGGCGGGGTGGTACTTGAACAGGCCCTCCTCGGCCTCGGCGGGGGTGGGGTCGCGGCCGACGGGGCGGCGGGGCTCGATGATGGCGCGGGGGATGCCGACGATGCCGTGGGACTCCGGGAGGTAGGCCAGCACGTGCCGCGAGGTGATGCCCTGCCGGGTTTGGGTGACCTGCAGAGCCGAAATGGGCGCGCTGAGGACGTAGGACTGGGCCACGACCGAGGGGCGGGCGACGCCGCCTGTGGGGTCGTCGATGGGGTCGATCGACGAGAAGGTGTCGGCGTCGCCGAGCGGGCCGCGGTCGTTGGCCTCGTCGCTCTCGTACAGGTCGGCCACGAAAATCTGGTAGCCCTTGATGGTCTTGGCGGCGTTGTCGCGCAGGGCATACTGGCCGAAGTAGGTGCAGACGAACCAGTTCTCGGCCATGGCGCACTCGATAGGCTTGGTGAGGTCGACGCCGTCGTGCTTGGAGGAGGAGAGGATTTGGCCAGAGATGGTGTCGAGGAGGTAGATGGTGAGCGTCTCGGTGCTATCGTTGGCGGTAGCGACGACGAGGGTGTTGGGGTTGAGGTACTTGTACTTGACGGTGCGGTCGCCGAGGACACGGCCAATGGAGGCGACAACATCGTGGTCGGGGCGTGTTGCGATATCA